CTTCTCATCTTTCTCGCTGGGGTGCTCTGCGGTGAGACACGGACGAATCCTCTTCCTAACCGGGCCCGCGCCTTTCTTCTGCCCACGGTGCTCCATTTCTCCCTGCCTGCCGCCGACACTGCTGCACAGCTGGTGTCGGTGCCTCACTTTTTCCCCAAAGTCGTTCCTGCAGCTTATGGCCCAGGCCGCCTTGGGTCTTTCTGCTCAAGGTTACCACATCCCTCTTTAAAAATTCTGCCAAGAAAGAGAAGATGCTTTACCCGACTCTTGGGCCGTTATCTCACGGCGAACTTTCTGACCAAGTATACAGCTACCCAGATGGCCTTGAAGTGCTGTATAGGGAGCAGTTCCACTTCAACTTGGGAACCTAGCTGATGAGAGGGGGTTCCATCTCCTAACTTGTCCATGTGCATTGACTGGAAGCTGGAAGAGCAGAAGAGGTGTCCTCCAGGCACTCCAGTAATGGAATACTGGTGTCCCAAATGATGGCTTAACTCGCTGGACCACAGCACCCTTTCCCCAAAGTAATGCCTTCATGGCTTCCTTGGTGTGACCTGAACTAATTTTGGAAAGTAAACTTGACCTGAATCTGGAAAAAAAAGAAGAATAAGAAGATGATGTCTGAAGTATTTTGATGATGCCAGCCACATGGGAGTCCCAGATGGAATTTGTTGGTCTTGGGTTTAGACTAGCACAGCCCTGGCTGTTGCAAGTATTTGGTAAATAACCCAGAGGATGGAAGATAGCTCTCTTTGCTGCTCTTTCAAATATACAAATATAAAAATATTTTTAAGGGTTCATAAAATTAAAATAAATATATGATTTTATTTTGGTGCAGTAACAATTTGGAATTCATAAAATGCATTTTTAGCTTACACACTTTCCATATATTAAAAAAGTCTTTTTTGCCAAAAAAACTATACCAAAGTAAACTCATACTTTTAAGTCTCTTTCCATGTGCTTTCCAAATCTCCCCATGTTTTCACCCAGTGCAATGTAGGGCAGCCAAAACTGATGTTCCCATCCAGGCAGTAGACTTACATTCTGAGTATTTAGGAGCCTGAAAATAAATTTTGATGCAATTTTTAATTTAGAACCAGAGTGAAAAGGTTTAGAATACAGTGAGAAGTGGACATGAGTTTTTAAGTACTCTTTTTCTTTAGGTTTTTTTTTTTTTTTTTGTTTTTTTGACAGGCAGAGTGGACGGTGAGAGAGATGAAGAGAGAGAGACAGAGAGAAAGTCTTCCTTTTGCTTTTGGTTCACCTTCCCATGGCCGCCATGGCTGGTGCACTGCAGCTGGTGCATCGTGCTGATCCGAAGCCAGGAGCCAGGTGCTTCCTTCTGCTCTCCCATGTGGGTGCAGAACGTAGCACTTGGGCCATCCTCCACTGCACTACTGCGCCATAGCAGAGAGCTGGCCTGGAAGAGGGGCAACTGGACAGAATCCGGCACCCCGACTGGGACTAGAACCTGTGGTGTGCTGGCACCGCAGGCAGAGGATTAGGCCTATTGAGCCACAGCGCTGGCTTCTTTAGGGTTTAAGCTAGTTGACTGAATAACAAAAAAGTAAAGTTTAGACAAATATTCTTCTTAAGTGTTTTTATTGATTTTAGAAATCCTGATTTAAAACCACTTGCTAGTTAATATCTTCATTGTCCCAACTTGGAGAAATGAATGTCTAGGTTATACTCCCATGTAGTGTTGGTTAATAGCTTCTGTAATACCTTTTCAAAAAGATTATTGACTACATTTTGCCCTATTTGAAAAATTAAATCAATGAAAATGAAAGATAAATTATGATGTGGGGATTACTCCATAAGAACCACCGGTAAAATTTATGATCTGCAATCTCAGTGTGCAAAGTTTTCCTCATTTAGACTGTTTAGCCTTGGCTTTCTTTCCCCTTTATTATGATATATCAGTGTGAATCTTAGAGATTGTCATGCTTTCTCTTGTCCAATGAAAGCTGGTTTAGATGAGCACTTCTCTACATAAGATTCTAGATTCCTGAGTGCTTCTTAAGCTAGTTATGGGGGTCTGTGTGCTTGAGTCACAATTTGAATGAAAATAATTGGTAACTAAAATGTTAACATTATTGTCATTAGCAGTATTACTAAGTATTTTTCTTTTATCTTATTGTTCATTTTATTTCTTATTGGCTTTTGATGTTTTGAAAATTTACAGCATAAAACTGGGAAACTATGGACTGTTGTGCATTTGAAGGTCTATATATTTATTTTAAATTTCATGTCTGTGAACAGTGCTAGTATTTCCTTTGCTTTGTTTATAAGTACAATCAAATTACACAAGGAAATGACAGCTCGCAATGCATGTACCTGAGTGTAGACAGGCAATCTAAACAGTAAAGTTGGGCACTCTGGGTTTATTGGTAACAGTGCCAAGTCTATGAGGGAATGGATAACAAACATCTTTAGCTTCCAATCAGTGAAATTTCTTTTAAAAGTCCAAAATTTGGGGATTGGCATAGCGGTGTGGTGTTAATGTTGCTGCTTGTAATGCTGCATCCCATAGGGCACTGGGTTGAATCCCCAGCTGCTCTTGCTTCTGATCCAGCTCCCTGCTAATAGACCTAGGAAACGTTGTGGAAGATTGCCTAAGTACTTGATCCCCTTGCATCCACATGGGTAGGACCCAGAAGCCTCTGGCTCCTGGCTTCAGATTAGCCCATTTTCCAGCCATTATGACCATTTGGGAGTGAACCAGTAGATGGAAGATATCTCTCTCTCTCTTCTTCTCTACCTTTGCCTTTCAAATAAATAAATACATCTTTAGGGAAAAAAGTCTGGAAATGAACAAGTGCAGATGTGTTGTGTATTCATAATGTACAACCTTAAAATAAGTAAGAAAGGACTCTGAATCCTGATGGTACAGAAAGAACATGGGATTCATAGGAGATTGCTTAGCCTGAAACAAGGGCAAATTGAGAAGATTTTGGAAATATGGAATTAAAAGATAAGTATTCTTGCAAAAATATTTAAATCCAGGTATAGTTTTTACAGTCCATATTTTCTATCAATTTTTAAGACTCATCATGTCATCCTAGAGCTTCTCATGAAAACACAGTATTATATTTTTCTAATAGAAGAAGTTTCTATGAGCATCACAGTTACCTGATTTCATGAATATTTATTGTTGTAATTTTTCCACATGTCAGACATGTCCTAGAAACAAAGTGGGGAAGTGACTGGGTCTTTTCTTTGCCCATTCCTTTCATTTAGTCTTGCGTACTCCCTTTAATATTTCATTGACCTACTGGAAACAAAGGCCAGTGCCCCAAAAATCACCTAATTGTCATCTTTTTCTCTGGATTCTCTTATGTTGTCCTTGAATGTTTTACTCTAGAGCCTGAAAATCCTTCAGAAATGTAGTTTTAATTTTTATTTTTAATATTTTTTGACAGGCAGAGTGGACAGTGAGAGAGAGAGACAGAGAGAAAGGTCTTCCTTTGCTGTTGGTTCACCCTCCAATGGCCGCCACGGCTGGCGCAATGCGGCCAGCGCAGCATGCTGATCCAATGGCAGGAGCCAGGTACTTATCCTGGAATCCCATGGGGTGTAGGGCCCAAGCACCTGGGCCATCCTCCACTGCACTCCCGGGCCACAGCAGAGAGCTGCCCTGGAAGAGGGGCAACCAGGACAGAATCTGGTGCCCCGACCGGGACTAGAACCCAGTGAGCCAGTGCCACAAGGTGGAGGATTAGCCTAGTGAGCTGCGGCGCCAGCTCAGAAATGTAGTTTTAAAGCTAAGTTTTACAGGCTTCAGTTTAAACATGTTTCACTGGAAGATAATATCTATGAAGTATGTGAATCACATACTGCATTGCTAGAAGAGTGGGTCTTCCAGATAAAATGCAAGACACACTAATACTGTGTGGAACAGCATCAAACCAAAAATAGCATTGCTTAGCAGAAATTTCAAATTTACCTATGGCTTCATCTTTCTTAATGTGACCACTTTGTTCAAACGACATAATAAAGCTTTTCAAATTAACTAATGAATTGATGACAAACTGCTGCTTATACTGTATCATGATTAGTCCCCTTTTAACCTAGGGTGTGAGGATATTTTGATATTTGCACTTCCATCAACCAGTTATCTATCAGTCCAATTAGTTATACTTACTATTGTGAAGTCTATACATGTATAGGCTTCACAAATACTTTTTAAATACAGTTCTATCTGTATTACAGTAACATTTTAGGGAAGAGAAAAACTTCCCTTGTCAGCTGTGGCTATTAGTAATTTCAAACTATAGTTTCTAGTTGAAAGACAGGCTCAATGCTTCTATAACAATAATCACTTCTTTATCTTTTCTTGAGTGGACACAGCTCAAGCACCATGATTCCAAGGGTAGGATTCCTTGTGTGATGAGACTAGATTGATCACACTATTGACAAAGTAATTTCATTTCTAGAAGTTTATTCTAAGGAAACAAAAGGAATAGACCACAAAGACATCTACACAGGGTGTTATTTACAGTGTTTCTTGTAATAGCAATCAATCAACAAATAATAGAAAAACAGAGGACAACATTCACAATGCCATCAGAAATGATTAGCTGAGTCAGTGATGGCACATCCACCAGATTTGTCTCCTAACTAGATCTTACCATTTATTCTTATGCAGCTACTATCCAGTCTCAACAAGATAAATGAACTTTCTAAAACAGCAGAGACTAACAAGAGAACTTAGGGCTTAAAAAATAGTATAGAATTATGTAATATGTGGAAACATTCTTATTATCAGTATTAAAAACCCCACAGAGAAATGAGTCAGAAATGTGAAGAAAATGTAAAACACCAAAGCAAATAAATAGCATTACACTCTCCCTCATCCTAAGCAGGTGGCCTGCAGCCTCCAGGTGGGATTCTCCCAAGAAGACCTGTGGGGAGGCAGGAGGGTCCCAGCAGGTGGCAGGATCCCACTGGTGAAAGGGTGCAGCCCTGGAGGAGGCCCTTGGCACCTATACCCAGACCTCACCTCTCTGCCTATCTGGAGCAGCCTGGAGTTCCTGTCCCTGCTGTAAAGATGCTGATTTGTTGCATCTTCTGGGTCCTGTGTGCTGACGGCTATGTGAGCTGTCCAATCAGGTGCAGTGACATCACTGCCACATAATCACACTGGATTGTGACACCACAGAGTTCCAAATTCCTGGAGGAGAGAGGTCCAAGGAGGAGCCTCTGCTGCTTGGAGACTCAGGAGCTAGTGCGGCATCCGTTGTTCTCTGACCTTTTCCACCCAACACAGCCCATCTCATATGCCTGGGAATGGTGAGTGTGTGGGGCCAGGTGTCCAGAGTGGGGGAAGGGGAAGCTGGTGGTACCTGCTGGCAGGATGCGGACTCCAAGAGGGCATCCCTGAACCTGTAGGCCCGATCTCGCTGTCCCCATAGCACACTCCTGGGTTCCTTGTGGTCTAGAAGATGCGGTCTGCCCTGGTAGGCCCCTTCCCCATTCAAAGAGATGTCTCAGCCCCAGAGCCCTCTGTGAGGAGCTGTTTCATGGCAGCCCCACGTCTCCCCCAATCGTGCAACAGGGGCAGGGTGTAACCATGGAGAAACAGTGCTGTGTGTATGGTGTGCATGCAGTTGTGGAGTTGTCATTTATAGGATTGTCAGTTCCTCTGTTCTTTGTGTGTGGGAAGCAGGATCTCAGTTTCTAGGACCCAGCCTTCTTGCATAGCTTTCCAGGAAATATGTGTAAATATGTGGTTTTACTAAGGAGAAACAGTGTAGTGGGCCAGGGCTGTGGTGTAGAGGGTAAGCTGCACCTGCAGTGCCGGTATCCAATATGGGTGCCAGTGTGAGTCCTGCTGCTCCACTTCTGATCCAGCTCTCTGCTATGGCCTGGGAAAGCAGAAGATGGCCCAAGTTCTTGGGCCCCTGCACCTGTGTGGGAGACCTGGAAGAATCTCCTGGCTTCTGGCTTCGGATCTACCAAGTTCAGTCCATTACAGCCCTTTGGGGAGTGAACCAGTGGATGGAAGACCTCTGTCCCTCCCTCTCTGCCTTTGCCTCTCTGTAACTCTGCCAACATTGTAGAATGCCTAATGATTTCTAAAATTTACAAGGAGGTGGAAACTCTGAGTTTGTTAAAAGCTTTTCTGTGGACTGTCAATAAATCTTGAGAAAAGTTCCACTTTATCACATAAAATTAATCCATTTTTAGGGATATATAAAATGGTTGTTATATATTTCAAGTAAGTAGCAAACATAGTAGAAAAATGTCTTGAAAAAAATTTACTCAGCTCATGAACAAGTGTACAAAGAAATTCTCCTCTGTCACAAAACAGCAAGTACTAATTTTCCAACCTAATTTTTCAGAAAGTATAATCTTTAACCCTAGAAGGAGTATAACAATCAGGATGCCTAACTCTATATAGAATTACCACTGTGACATGACCTAAAACAACTCACTTTACTTCTCTGGGACTTAACACTTAGCATCCTCATGTGCAGATGAGATTTGGATAAGACAAGTTGTACTCAAGATAGACATCAAGGATCTCTCAGATTCAATAGACATCAAGGCTCCTCAGGCTCCAAAGTGGCACTTTAAGGTATCGGTGAAAATGTAAATCAAAGCTTGCATTCTTATACACACATATATTTTAAAACTATTCTGCAAATTCAAATGTGTACCATACCACTGTTCAACACTTGGGGATAATTAATGCATTAACTCATGATGCTAAGTTGAGTTTGGTGCAGCCTTCTTTTCTTAACAGGTCCAGTAATTCACGCTTTTAGCAAATCTATACCAGATAAAATGGTTAGGTTTATACAAACCTTTGTTTAATGCAAGCAATGCCTACATGTTTCATGAAAAATTGAGAGTAGATACATCATGAGAGCAGGTGCTAGTCAAATGACTCAGTTGAAAAACTTAGCAAAACAAGTAGTTAAGCAAGTCGGTACTATTACATATTTTCCCAATATCATGTTGTAGATAAGATTAGTACGTCTTTGAATTTGTGGTTTATTCTTCTCTGACAACCTGAGTGAGTTTAATTTGTCAGTAGAGAAGTGAAACTGTGTAAACAGAATTATTGAAGTAATGTTAATAATTAGATGAATTTAATTTATCACAGTTTGATACCAAAATATCAGTCTTTTATAATGGCATTATTAATATCATGTCGATTTCCATTTAAAAGCATTTTTTGTAAACTAATGATGGATTTCTTAAAAAATAATTTATTTGACAAGTAGAATCATTGAGAGAGGAGAGAGAGAGAGAGAGAGAGAGATCCTCCATCTACTGGTCCACTGCCCAAATGGCTGCAGGTGCCTGGTCCCAGCCAGGGCAAAGCCAAGAGCATGAGGCTCCATCAGATTCTCCTGTGTAGGTGGCTCAGATCAAGTACTTAAGCCATCACCATCAGGAAGCTGGGCCAGAAGTGGAGCTGCTGGCCTCTAACTGGCTCTGATTGGATACCAGTATCACATGCAGTGGCTAACCTGCCTGAGCCAGAGGCAAGCCCCAAACTACAAGGAATTTTATCTAAATTGAACTTTTTAAATGATAAAGAATCTGTTAATACTGTGTCTCCCTGTCACCCTGAAAAAAAAAATGAGGCCAGTGTTGTAGCACCGAAGTGTAAGCCACCACCTGCAAGTCCCAGATGCTCCATTTCATTTCAACTCTATGCTACTATACTGGGAGAAGCAGTGGAAGATGGCTCAAGTACCTGGTCCCCGCCACCACATGGGTGACCCAGGTCATCGAGTTCCTGACTCCTGGATTCAGCCAGGTCCCAGCCCTGGCCTGTTGTAGCCATTTGAGAATATTTAAACCATAAAGATGAGAGACCTTACATTCATGGAAAAGAAGTATGCTTGTATTTCAAGAAAATTTTGCACCACAATTAACCTACCATTCATTCAATATTTGTTGTTTGATATTGCCTAATTCAAACTAACTCCATATACATGTAAAGAAATACTTTGTTTTTCTAATGTGAAACAATTTAATATATATTACTCACCAATTTATGCAATGTACTGCTTCCTAATAGCTCCAATGGCATTTCAAAATGTCAATTCAGGTATTTCCGGATTATAGGTGTATTAATAAACTACTTTCAAAGATCATAATATTAGTTGTGATACTAATTTAAATATTTTAATATCCCTTAACCTTATACTACAAGTAAGATGGTGTTTTGAGTTTTTTTTTATAATTAGTTCTATCTATGTATCTATGTATGTATGTATGTATCTATCTATCTATCATCTATGGGTTACAGTGTGAGATTTAGTCCCTGGCTACAATATGTACCGATCAAATCAGAGTAAACAACATTCTCCCTTCTATGACATCACACTTCATGATCAGAGCCTTGGAACACCTTTTTCCATTTGCTAATAAAGTATGGAATACCATTACTCTGGGGGTATAGTCAACCCATCAAACTATGTAACATCGAAACTCCTTCTCATAATCTAACTCTGATTTTGTAGAATTGCTCCAAGTAGATTTTACAGATTTTTAATTAATTACTTTGAATGAAAAGGAGACACACAGAAAGATGGAAAGAAAGGGAGAATGCGCCCACCCACTGGTTCACTTCACAAATTGCCTAATAAAGGTGTGGCTGAGTCAGACCTTAACAACAGTTTAGACATGACACCCCATGCACAAGTGACAAAAACAGAAATAAGGAAGTAGGGCTGCAAAAAGCTAAATAAACAAATTCTGCATACTAAAGAAAAACTGAAAAGAGAAGGTAAGGAATGGGAGAAAAATATGGCAACCTACTTTATTAAGGGAGTAATGCAAAGAACATGCAGAACTCAAAAGCAAATATAATTAAAAATTGACAAGAATCTGATCATTTTTTTTCCAATGAAAGATATGCAAGCAGCCAACAGGTATTTGAAAAGGAGTTCAGCACTGCTAAACAAGACCACAATGATTATCACCTCAGATATGTAAAAATGGTTATTAACAAAAAGTAAAAAAAGATAACAAGTATAAATTAGATGTGGAAAAAAGAGAACACATAAGTTGTGGAACTGAAAATTGGTATTTGCATTAATGAAAACACTCTGGACAGGCCAGTGTTGTGGCTTAGCTGGTAAAGCCACTGCCTGCAGTGCTGGTACCCCATTTGGGCATCAATTCTCAACATGTAATCTAACTATTCATGTGATTGTCGTCATCGTCATCGTCATCTTCTCCTTCTCCTTCTCCTTCTCTCCTCCTCCTCCTTCTCCTCCTTCTCCTCCTTCTCCTCCCTCTCTCCTTCTCCTTCTCCTCCCTCTCCCTCTCCCTCTCCTCCTCCTCTTCTCCTCTCTCCTCTCCTCTCTCCCTTCCCCCTCCCTCTCCCCCTCCCTCTCCCTCCTCCTCCTCCTCTCCTCCTCCTCCTCCTTCTTCTCCTCCTCCTCCTTCTCCTTTTTTCCCAACCTGGATGACTTGTCTGTATATCTTAACCTATTTCACCTGTTTTATTATATCTTGCTGCTATTGATATATTTTCTTAAGAATTTTTTTGACACAGGCAGAGTGGATAGTGAGAGAGAGACAGAGAGAAAGGTCTTCCTTTTTGCCATTGGTTCACCCTCCAATGGCTGCCATGGCTGGCACGCTGCCGCCTGTGCACCATGCTGATACCGAAGGCAGGAGCCAGGTGCTTCCTCCTGGTCTCCCATGGGGTGCAGGGCCCAAGGACTTGGGCCATCCTCCACTGCCTTCCCTGGCCACAGCAGAGAGCTGGCCTGGAAGAGAGGCAACCGGGAAAGAATCTGGCGCCCCGACCGGGACTAGAAACCCTGTGTGCCAGTGCCGCTAGGTGGAGGATTAGCCTAATGAGCTGTGGCGCCGGCCCCTTATGTAATTTCATTTGTTATATTAAGCCTTACTTGGGATACTTTTATCTCTGCTTATGAATAGGATACTTCTAAAAACTTAAATTTTTATTTTAAGTCCTTGTCCCCTGTATCATCATCAAAGTAATGCTGATTTTCCAAAAGAAATTTAAAAAGCACTATGTTCCTAAATTTGTATATGTGAAATACATGAACTATGTATACCTAACATAAACAGTTTCTAGGTAAAAATAAATAAAGTTAAAGAATAATACCAATAAAAATGTTCTCTATTTCACTTTGGAAGATCTGATAAACATAGTTTTGCTTTTTATTCCTTAAAATTTGTACCATTCTGTAAATCCAGACCCAAAATTTTGAGTATGTGACTTTCTTCTTGGGTGATTTCTTGGAATTTTCAAAAAGTGATTCAGCTTTTTTGGATTCTATAGGAATTTTCAT